TACAGTTTGAGCAGGAGCTGAATAACGTGACTGAAAAAATTGCACAGTGTTTGCCCAGCTTAAGAATCGGCATTACATCCTTCCTGCAGCTTTGCAGATTTGACAGGAGAGGTCACTAGACCAAGCTAAAAAGTGTCTGTGTGGGAAATTGAATAATTACTAATCAAACTGTTTTTATTTCTTTTCAATATAAGTTCTCACTGCTGCTATAACATAGGAGATATAAGAACCCTTTTCATTTATGCTTCCCCAGCAAAGTAGAAGTAGTGACAGGATTCTACAGAGCCCCTTAAGTGAAATTGGAGAGAAAATAATTGAAGATGCATTTTTGCGAGATCCTGCAAACGTTTTTCATTTCAGTCCATGCGCTTTCAACTCAGTAGTGAGACTTAGGAAACAACCATAGTGATGGAAGTCACACACTCGTGAGAAAGATTGAGCTTGGGCTAAACTATAAAGACTCAGTGCTTTGCAGTGCACACGGTTGTGTGAGAGACATCTGAAGATAGATGTAAATGGAAGGGGAAACACTTGGGGCCAGACATCCTCTGACTTGGTGGTCTTGGTTGAATTCATTGACAAGCAGCTGTGGTACTCTGGACAGCTTGCCAGTATTTTGAGTGACTGTATTTTAAACATTTACGGAGACTTTTAAAATTCCATCCTTTAGTTTAAGCCAAATAACTTGTTTTGCCTTTTCTATTACATTCCATTTCAACTTTAGAGCAAATGGGAATACAATAATGTCAAATACTATTGTTTGCCCTACAGTCTGCAAAAAAAAAGTCTTGTTTTTATTGGAAATCTTCATAGTGCAAGTGATCTATCAAGTTTTGAAGATGGAAACTCACTGCAAGGACAGAACAGTCATGTTGAGGCTGTAACTACAATTACTGAGTGCAAAGATTTTAAAGTGAAACTAAATGAGCTACAGATGTTTTATTATAAGCTCCTTACAATATAGTCTTTCACCCTCCCAAACAGAAAAGAACGCAGTTCTCTAAAATAGTAGATTTTAAAGTTTTATATATAAATCTCACATAAGACTTCTTATCATAATATCACTTAATCAAGGTGTCTCTTTTGATTTGGTAAAAAAATAATAATAATAATAATGTGGTACATGTTGTATTTGAAATGTCAACCTGCCACCTGCAATTCATACTCAAAATACATTAAGAAGACTGTCTACACACAAACTTCTCTGTCTGTGTGTTTGCGTGCGTGTCTTTTCCTTCTTTCTTAATGGGAGAGCCAGGTTAAGTCCTATGGGGAAAAAAGGATCACAGAATGTAATTTCCATTACTTTCCAGTAGCTGTGTTTTCAGTTCTGTGCAGTTATACAAGCAATTTAAAAATTGAGTCACAGAGCAGCTCACAGATGTGACTATTCAATGAGATGAACACATTCACTTCAGCTCAAGTTTATTTATATAGCACCAAATCACAACAGTCGCTTCAAGGTGCTTTATACTGTGAGGTAAAGATTAAGCTTATCTTTGGTTTACTCCAACTACAGTTTAAGCATTGATGACAGTGGTAATCAAACCAGCAGCCAGTGGGTTACTAGCTGGGCATGCTAACCTCTGTGCTTTGTCCCACTGTACTCAGCCTTGAAACGTGTATGAATGTGTGGCTAAAGATAAATATCAGTATACACAAACTTCCAAATACTTTACTGCCATTTCAGCATAGTGACGAAAAAACTACACCACATGATTGCTGCAATGCCAAATCACAAAAAAGCCTCACTAAAAAAAGTGATAGGAGTCATGAGTGAGTATTGTAGTCATGTACAAGTTCAGAATTTAGTTTAGGCTGTCTACTAGAATACATTAAGTTTACATTCTTAAATACAAGAACTCTCTTATAACCTTATAGGTAGTTTTGCAAACAGGTTTGCAGTTTATTAGGATTTTTTTTAATACTTCAAAAAAAC